AGGACAATAGTCCGAATAATGTAAATAGTGTACATAATACTTCATCGCAGAAATATAGACAGACTAGCAGTAGAGCCCGGCGTTGCCCGGGGATGTAACAGTAAGATTTGGGGACGGCTGTTGCTTTGAAAGATGTGCTTTGTAAGTCGACAGGAACTAAGTTTCTACAAAACGTTGAAACGCAATGCACACAAAGTTTAAGCAGACATCATGCAAGCCCAAGTATTCGAAGGTTGAAGAAAGTAACGGAAAGCCGTTGTAGCATCAGTCATTTGCCATTACTAAGACATCTGTGAGTAAAGCTGGCAGCAGTTACTGCTTTAACCAATTGAACCGTTAAGCATTACTGGAAACACTTGTGGTAAGTAGTCAAGAAACCACGATTCAGTTGCAACATACATAGGGATTGAAGGAAATGTGACGAGGAAGCCATAGACATAAAGTATGTGCCGTGCGCAATCACAAACAAACCGCTTGTCTAACTAAAAGACGCGTCTTATGCCAAAAAGACGGCGCTACGACCACAAAGCAAAACCGTAAAACCGAGAGAAGAGCGAACAGTGACGGGGTGTCATGGTAAGAAAATTTCTGTGATATAACTTCCTTTATTCTGATCTGTCACTATCTACATCGCGGCTGAGAGCCCTTAAAACCGCAACGGGGTAGCCGTAAGGCCGAGCATCGTAATTGCAATGGAGAAGTGCCATCTCTTCAGTCGCAGTCAACATCACGCTGAGAGCCGGACCAGGGTCGCCGTACTTGGCGTGTGTTTTTAGGTTTTTTTACACGACTACAAACAAAACAATAGAGCCGTATGGCTGACATGTTTCACTCATAGCAGCCGTAAAATGTACATGGAAGCAGAAGCCTGAATTTCGTAGACGCACTCGACTTTTGTGACAATTAAACGAACTCCGAAGCTTCTCAAGTGTGAATGTGCTTGTATGCACTGGTACGAACTGCAGGTGCTCCGATCAACTGTTAATGAAACAGGAACTTTAGTGGAGCAATCATGTCTAATGCCAGTGTTCATGTGTCTAGCAGCTTGTGTTGCAACTGAATGCGGTGAGGTTATCATAGTGTACAAACAAACGCGATGATGGCGGGTGAAGGTATGAAAGTCAGAAGGCAGCAAAAGAGCTGGATAACCTTTACAAAAATGTCTTAGTAATGTCAAGTGGAGACTACGACGACCTAACGTTAAAACCAATATGACAAAGAAAAAAATTGTCGGACTGCATATGTGTGCATGGCGCTTAAACGCTACCGGGCGGGTTGTATACAGGGCCTCCGTGTAGGTTATGTTTCTAGCACAGTTGTTGGGAGAGTAAATGAAAACCCTGTCCTTAGACCCAACTCGTGAGCACCCAACATAAAGTTGGCCGTGAGAGAAGCACTGCTCACGTAAATGTAGACCTGCGATGCTAAGCGTCTGTCCTTGTGATTTGTTAATGGACATAGCAAAGCAAAGTTTCACGGGAAATTGTGAGCGACGAAAGTTGATTGGTATGCTTGCGTCTGACGGCAGAAGATGCATCCTGGGAATCAGAACGACTTCCCCTTTGCCGCAGCTAGTTGCAATGGTCGCCCAATCAGGTTTGGAGAAAGGGATTTAATAATGAGGCGAGTCCTGTTGCACTGTTTAGGTGGGAGCAAATTCCTGATTAGCATAATTGGGGCACCAACTTTGAGCCGAAGAATATGAGGTGGGAGTCCGACGGCTGAAGGGAGTTCAAAACTTCTATGGGATACTCAGCTAATTCAGATGGATCGGAAGTTCTGTCGATAGACTTATAAACATGACATTGCCCGGGAATGCAATCCAACAGTTTAAGGTTGATGGAATCAACTGTACAGTTATTCGGTGCGAATATGGCCCTCCCAGCAAGCCAATCGGCATCGGCAAAATTAGTGGATAGGTTGTAGAAGACTGCATTCATAAATTCATCCGGTGATTCAACAGTGGTGGCAAGCTGATCCATCTGCACAAAACCCCGTGTGTCAGATGGCATTTTCCCCTCCCCAAGAGCAAGAAGGTCCCGTGCGAAGTCAGCGGATCTGGAGTCCCCATTCAAGTAGGCACGCATGTTCGTGCTCAGTTTAAGAGTCTCCGCGTGGCGCCAAAGGGCAGACGACTTCAGGCAGGCGCAGACAGCATCAGCGCGTGTACCTTTAGGAATGACAGGTAGAGTCTGCATAAAGTCGCCTGCGGGGAGAAGGGGTAATCCACCCATGGGGTCGGAGGAGTCGTGGATGTCTTGGAGACTTCGGTCAAGTGCCTCAAGGTCGCACTTGTGTGCCATCGTGCACTCATCCCAAAATATAAGTTTGCATCTCCGCAGAACTTCAGCCTGTGGCGAATTCTTTGTTATATTGCAGAGAGGTGTTTGTGACCGGCATAGATCAAGCGGCAACCGAAAAGGCGAATGAGCGGTTCTACCTCCCGGTAGCAACGTTGCAGCAATCCCGGAAGATGCGACCGGAATAGCGATCACCGCACGACGCCGTACCTCTGCCAGGACTAATTTAGTAACAAACGATTTGCCAGTTCCTCTGGGCGCATCTAAAAAGTATATACCTCCACTGGAGCCGTTTGCCCTGTCTGTTATGGTAGTGAAAGCAACCCTCTGATCAGGTAGAAGTTTGGGATCGTTTTCGGTAATGTATGCGTTCAGCCCCTCGATGGAGTAGGATGTTTCCCGCAATAACTCAGTTGGTACAGTGTCAAAACCGTCTCTGGACGGTGGTGGTAAACCGTAAGTTGGTAAAGAGGCACCTCCCAGTTCGAAAACATCTTCTAGGGCCACCAGCGCTTTGTTGAATATGAAGTCAGTGAAACCGCATTCAACTCCTGGACTGTTACGCTGAACAGAGAACAGCACATCCTCTGACATGGATTCTTCTGTACTTTAGCCAGAGCGACAGAGGATCAATTATTTCGCATCGCAAAAGCAAAATGGCGAACAGCGTTCGAAGCCGTGATGGCGTTCTGAGAAGTTTCACCCTCCGCCATAGCTGCATCCCATTGGGAGTCGTCTTCTGGGAAAAACGCAATCCCAAACGGAAGCATGCCCTTTATAAGACTGGCACTCTATCAAATGCCGCTGATGCCGTTGACAGTGCGAATATCTGTAGAAACTCGTTGGCCCAGCAATTTACGAAGTAGAAGGCGGAGGTAAAAGCACTCCTGCTGGCTGGTGTACTTTATTGACTTAACCGAGTGGCAGTATTCAACGTTTATGTGGGCTCCAAAAGTCTTGGACAGCAGCGGGCAATAAGGCACCACCCAACGATTGTCCAGAGTGTGCCCCTTAACTGTCACAGTTCTGCCGCCCTCAGCGGAGCTTCTACGTCTGTACAGTGGGTAACCATCCGTCGCAGTCTGCGTTTCTGAGATAAACTTACGGGGGTAACCCTTTGCGCAAGTGGGCCGCTTGACCACCATGAACTTTTTTTCGCAATTCGCGCCACAGGGGCCGTGTATCATATTGTTTTTAATGATTTCGTGGAGCAAAGTATCCAGCGCAAGATCCGGAATTTCAGCAGAAATAAAGTCGTCTATTTTGTTTGCGTCAACCTTTATCGTTGAGCCACAGCAGAATGTGGGCATGAGGCAAACTGCGTTTCTGCCATTCCACTGTATACATATATGACACTTAACGCGTCCGAAGACTTGCCCTTTAAAGGATTAAATCCATAAGCTTACACAGCTGTAACCGGAAAACGCGGGCAATTAGGTCAGTGCGGTGTGAGTACTGCTGACCTGGAAAAAGTTCGCGTGTGATTTCAATCCATTTCGGATTGCACGTGAACGTGACGAAAAAATCAGGCCTCCCGTAATGACGGAAATAGGTCATTGCGTCTTGTGTCCTTTTATGCATCGAGGGCCACCAGTGTAAGAGGAAGGCAAAATGCATGGTTTGCCGAGATCGCGTAGGTCACGATCAGAATGCAGACCATCACGAACGTGAATGTAGGAGTAGGTTCTAAGTTTGGATTGGTTTAACTTGATGAATCCTAACCTCTTCGACTCCATTTTTGCAGCCATGTTAACAGCGAATTGAAGAAATAGTTGACGGCACCTGTGCAAGTGGTTAAATTCACCCTCCCTAACCATAAACATGTAGGCGTAGTAAGCCCTACAGGAGACCGTCTTTGAGGTCGACATGGAATCGCTGCTTGCCTGGTATATTGGGATTTTGAAGTGGTACCCATCACTTTCGTATGGAAAAAGAAGGGGGTACTGGAGACAGTCGTATGGACGGTGGGTTTCACTGATGCGGCGCAGACCACCGCCCCGGTACCTTATGACAATGTCATGGCTGTTATGCTCCTCACCGTGGATGACTGCGGCGACTTCCTTACATGCAGGCGCATTGAAGCGAAGCTCATGCTCACCGTGAGGCCGTCTGTCTGCATCGATAACAACGCTGAAAGAGGGCGGAGAGTTGTTTTGCAACACAAACTTTAAGCTTCGGATGTAACTGTTAGTTTTGCGAAGCATGTCTTGTAGACGGAACAGAATGTCTCTACTTGGACCGACGGAAATATCGCTAGGCAGAATGCCGAGACGCGCATCAACCTGCTCGTTGTAGTCAGCGAGAAAGTAAATTTGTAGGAACTGAGGTGGCTCTCCCTGATCAGCCAAAAGTGATCCCATCCCCCCTCACTAATAGCCTTCGCACCAAAAGACGTCATCTGAAGCAACAGTTGTACTTCCGTATTGCTTCAAGAAAATGCGTTGACTCCGATGTTGTACCCAGAAGGGGGTCCCTAAGCGGCTGGGGGGGGGGGGTTTCTGCCTAAAGAAGGGAGTTTGATTTTGCCCCCAGAGCAACAAAGCCCAGGTTGTTCACCGGCCTACTTTTTTGCGTTGCAAAAGGTGCAAACTTTATCCATGGCCCCTATTTGTACGTCTCTCCTAACGGAATAGTTGACAGTGCAGTCATAATTGTATGCGGCATTTGACCAAAATGATGCAGACAGCGAAGTTACGCCATTCAAAGAAGCTCGAAGTTGCTAATGTTTTCGAGCCGTTGACGGCGCACTTCAGAGTTTTCTGCAGCCCTGGCAGACGCAATAGAGTGGGCATTTCTAACGCGACGAACAGTGGTTTGTGCAGGGCTTTCTAGGACTCTGGCAGACGCGGTAGAGCGGGCATTTCTAACGCGACGAACAGTGGTCTGTGCAGGGCTTTCTAGGGCTCTAGCAGATGCAGTAGAGCGGGCATTTCTAACGCGACGAACAGTGGTCTGTGCAGGGCTTTCTAGGGCTCTAGCAGATGCAGCGGAGCGGGCATTTCTAACGCGACGAACAGTGGTCTGTGCAGGGATTTCTAGGGCTCTAGCAGATGCAGCGGAGCGGGCATTTCTAACGCGACGAACAGTGGTCTGTGCAGGGCTTTCTAAGGCTCTGGCAGACGCGGTGGATATGGCATTTCTAAAGCGACGATGAGCGGTTTCTTGGGTTTGTTCCGAAGCTCTAGAGGTGGCTGTGGTCCTAGTATTCCTAAGACGATGTGAAGTTGTTTGTTCGGGACTTTCTAAACCCTTGGAGCAAGCTTTGGCGGTGGCATCCCGCAAACGACAATGGGTTTTCTGTGCTGGGGACTGTGAAGCCCTCAACCTAGCCACGCGGACTGCGTCCCGTGAATTCTGAAGTGAACGTTCTTCAACTGAAAGCCTGTCGTAGCGTGCGGACATGGTTGAAGCCGCCGAAGCCAATCTTTCAGTCCGCGCAGCGGCGCTTTCCGTAGATAAGCGAGCAGCTGAGCTCGAGGCCATCTGTGTAAGACGCAAAGAAGTCTTTTCCGGGGTTTCACTCGCCCTCACTGCTCTTTTTAGGTGGCATTCAAACAGTGAAAACGTCAAAGAGGGTAAAGCATAAAAAGAGATTTCGACAAATCCAAAACGAAAAAACGTGCACTGCTAACGTAGACACAAAAAGGGGAACACCCAGTAAAATGAGTTCAGATGTTACTAAAGGGGAACTCGAAACTAAAAAAGTAGAAATTTAAAAAGGGAAACCAAGGGAAAATCCAAAAGGGAATGGGTTTTTAGTACAATTGGCTAACGTGTGGAGGGTGGGTTGGAACTATAAAACAAAAAAGCAGCTAGAACACGTAATCAACAACTTGTGGTGTCCGGAGTAGGCGAATAAAGTAAGTAATAAACGCAAAAGTGTGAAAGCACGCCCGAGCCACGCAATAGAGGTGGTTGACCTTGAGCGCACTTACACATAAGCTGACGCGCGATCACGCGTGCGCTATAACGTGTGAGAAATCCTGCGCGATGATTGGACAGGCCCCAAGGTCAAGCTCTGTGAAAGCGACCAATGGGCTTGCAGCAGTCTCGGTATCGACACGCGGACTCGGTTGTACGCAGCTGTGTGTGTATAAGGAAATTACAAAAAAGATTGATCCGCGTGCAGCTACGGTTATTTTTGCCGAAAAATTCTAAAATTGGACACACATAAAGGCGATAGTAAGCCCCAAATGTGTCGTAAATTTCATTTGAATCAAATCAAAACTGTATATACTGTGCCAGTAAATGTGTGTTCAGAGGGCTAAATCCTGTCCCTTGGTACGCCCGTTTATGGTTCCATAGTCAAGCGGCTTTGACAGTCTTGCAAACAATTTGGTACTTGTTAGATAGCCAAGCGTTAGTGCTATCAGAAACTGGACCATTTGGTTTGTTTTGGTGGCTCGGTAACAAAACATCGTCCAAAGACTGCGAAAAATCTGCATAAATGGCCCTCTCCCCGTGCTTTCAAATTGATTTCGTGCAAAAACAATTGTGTTTTCCCAATTTTTGGCACTGTCAGAACCCCCACCAGGTAATTTTATGTAGTCCTGTGAAGTTTTGTTGAAATCGGTTGAAAAATGTAGGAAATCCGATCCCATATATAAACGAACAGACACACACACACACACACACACACACACACACACACACACACACACAACCTGAGTTTTATAATAAGTAAGATACTGAATAAATTACATCTTTGTATAATATGAGCCTGTAGTATGGTCATTGTTATAGAATCTTTTTTGAAAGTTATACCATATTATCCATTAAAATCTCAGTCATACATATATTTCAGTAAAATATTTAATTTTTAATGATATTAAAGAATAGAAATGAACCAGATGTTTAACCATTGCATGTTTCTTTTCCTAGTTTCCATTTCAAAAGTTATTTTGAAATTAACTTGACATACCTGGTAATACATTTTAAGCTGTTAATTAATCTAGCTTACTTTTCTATTTGATATGACTTTATTATATTTCTATATATTAATAAACTATGAAAAAAATATTGTCTTTCATTAAGAATGAAGAGAAAAAGCTTTATAAAAAAACCAATAAAATCAAAATATAAACAAACTTTATTATGTGAGCAAAATTACTGAATAAAATTTCTGAAAATGTGTACTTGTGTATAATACGATCTCACATTTTTGCCTTTAATTTTCATTTAAAATTTCTTGGATTATGTTTTTTTCAGTGCATCCTTTCACACATTTGTTCTGAACAACTGGAGATCAGTTGAAAAAAACAAATTCTGACCAATTGGATTTTGTTATATCTAGCTCATTCTTGAATGCACTTTACTATTATAAAAAGTATTCACAAAAAGTCTTCAGTCAGTTCTGTGAATAGCATGCAAAGATTTATACTTCTCAGCTGACATTTGGAAAATGGATTTCAAATCCACCATTTCTTTGTTCGCCAAACATAAATATCTTTACCCGTCATCTCCCACAATTCTTTTCATTCTGGTTTGTCAATATACAATTGTGTCATGTTTAGCTACAATTTGACCCTTATACAAACTGTAATCAAAGGTAGATGGTTCATATATCAATCAATATAGAAATAGGAAAAAGAAAAACTTATTTCATGTTATTATTTCAATTCTTTCTCATATGTGTAGTGTTTGTGAAGAAAAACTAAAAATTAATGTAAATTAAGATTGGTAAAATTAACAAATTAGACTGATTCAAAGTCATAGTGGACACATTATTATAACATATTTTATTAATTAATCAGTTCCAGATAAAATAAAGCCCTCTTATTTAAAATTGTTAATAAGATACAGTATCCCTACTAGTGGAGGCATGGTGGAGTAATGGATAGCAGCTCAGATTGAGGAATTAGAGAGCTGAGTTCAAATTCCATTTACATTCACTTATGTGCTAATACCCTTGGGAAAGGTATGAATCCTCTTCTTCTCCCCCCAGCTATGAGTAAATAGTAGGTTTTATAGCCTTGGATGGCAACTGGTCTACCGCAGAAAGAAATGACCACCTACTGTGGGAAAAAATATGCCTCGTCAGTCATGTATTGAAAAATACATGATCGCCTAAGCATGTATCATGCATGGCACATAACTGACTGATCCCTACTGAGTGGATACCAATTTAAAATAAAACTTAATTGATAAAAAAAAGTAAAAAAATATACAGCATTTAAAACCTATACCAAATTATTAATTTGCAAAATTTCAGTTCTAAGCATGTATAATTATTAAATGATGAGAAATTTTATACTCTTCAAATAACACACTTTAGAATAGAGTAGAGCACTTTTCTTTTAAATATTTATGTGTATTCTTGTGTTCACTACTACATCCACATGCCATGTATATAAAAGAACAATGTATCAAGCAGTTGGAGTATTAGTCCAAGTTGAAGAATTAAGATGGGTTATTAAAAAATCTTCCAATTTCCTGTTATATGAAAGCTGTCTTTATCAGAAGAAACTGGGGAAAAAAAATACAATTTTTGTGAAACAATTTCTGGAATATAACATTTTTTGTTTTACATTTTATCTTTCTTTTTTTCATTTTCTTTTTGTTTATGAAACAGTTGAATATTTTCACAAGACCTACATTTCACCCTCTCAACCTTCTGCATATGTGTAGTGGCACTAATGTTAATAGAAAATGATTAACATGAGTGCTACAAAATAAAGACTTTTTTCTTTTTTTTTTCTTTTTACAACACAAGAACTTGCGGAAATATCTGATAACAAAAATTAGTTGTTCATGTTTTGTTTTCTTTAAAGTCTCTGCAAGTTTTAGAGAAATATCAGCAACCACATGGCATTAAAAACATTAAAACATTATTGCCAAGTTAAGAATTGTAATCCGATACTATCCATTCAGTGGTCAAAGGAGTGGACTGCGGTGAGACACAGATGTATGGAGCAGGCTGCTGGTGAGATACAGTTGTGTTCATCTTGCTGGATAAGATTTTTTAAGTGTTCTGATGAGATCATACACACACGCGTTAGCTCCACAAATTTCTTACTTCATATTTTTTTATACACCCAATTGATCAAAATATGTGGTCTAGTGTTTTATTTTTTTAGAAAACGTACATAGGGGTTTTTTACATGTTAAGAATTGCGCCAAAGTTGATCCAATTTTTCTCAAACTTTCCTTGACGGTAAATTGCATAATTTCCAGTATATGTAAAAAGCAATACTAAAATAATAAGTATTCCCTCATTTGTCTCTACATACAATTCAATTATAAATAATTTTTGTTGATTCTTTATTTACAAATACATTATGTATTTTGTATGTGTACAAACTCACACTAATTTCATGTCTGATTGTAAACTCATAATAAAAAAATTCTTAATTATTTGTGAAAGATCTTTTTTCTCATTGATGAAGTCATCATCTATTCCCAAAAGTAAAAGAAAAGAAAGGAAAATAAGTAAAGTCACATGACTATTTCAACCATGTGTTAATCTACCTATTAATGGAATTTGGCTCTTAACATGTAAGCAAGTCTCTGTGAAAATGAAGGCAGTTACTTATTGCTTTGAGCAGCCATTATCAAGGACAAAGCTTATCAAAGAGCAAATATCTAATGCAAGAAATTTATTCATTCTTTTAAAAAATACTTGCATATTCAAGTTACTTTTGTTCGTTTGGTGCAAGTGAAAGAATAACTGTACAGAGTTATAGACAAGTTATCTTAAGCTCACTTAAAATATTACAATTCTTGCAAATTAATCCACTGAATAAGAGTGCCATCTTTCCAAGAAACAATTATCGTATTTAGGTATGCATAGTAAGGAAAAGATGGGTAAATATTTTATCCCAGTGTACAATGCAACTCCCAGCTTTATTAGCTTGTAGCCTTGTGTAATTTTCAAGCTGTTGCACACCATTGTAAAAATGACATGTAAATTTAAAATCAATGTATTGGTATATGTATTATATTTAATGTTGAGATTTGTAATTTCAGTTTAATATACTATTTTTTTATGTTTTAATCAATTTTTGATGGATTAATGAATTTTGTTTTGAAATGCCAAACCATATTTTCTTTCAAAAACTGTTAACCTCATTACCACTGAGCAGACCTTAAACCTGCAATAATCCTGATGAGTAGTCATACCTTCAAGGAGACTTGTAGGGTCAGTCTACTCAGATTAAAAATGAAAAATTAAAATCCGAGTGTCGTGCTCACAAATGCAACATAACACAAAGAAATGATTTTTTTACATAGGCAAAAAGGAAAACTAGATTGAAATAATCATATATTTATGTACATATTAACATTAAAATTTAAATGGTAAACATTGTGCTTGTTCTGGTTGTAAAAAATCAAAGTTCAAAAGTTCAAATGTTTGACAAAATTTTCCGTTTGTTAAAGAGCAGTTCGTAAAGTCATATGCTTTGGTCAATATAAAGTGTGTATATATATATGTGTGTCTGAAGCACATTTTAACAGAGTGTATACACAGCTGCTGATTAAATGTG